CATTGCTCGGCCCTTTGCTTCACCCCACAGGCCCCAGGTGTCTGCAGCCTGGGGCCCCACACCTGGGGTGATGCGAGGACCAGATGAAATCATGAGCAACCCGTCCCAGCAACTGTCCTTGAGGCTACTTCGGATCTGTGGACCCTCAGGACCGAGTATTTGGGCTGCCCCAGCACCAGACCCTTACCAAAAACATATTAGCTGGCTTCCAGGGAACCATGGAGTGGGTGCCCGAGGGGGTCACAGACTCGGCCACAGCCGCTTCCTGCATGTGTCCCATGCACTCTGTGTGCCTGGTTCCCTGCACAGCCCCCCAGTCATCCATGGTTGTGCATCTCACTGGTGCCCATGTTCCGGGACTCCTCTCAGGAGAGCGACCCTCAGGGACAGCTGTGTCCCTGCATGAAGGGGCCACTGCCGTCAGGCAGGAGGCCCTGCCTTAAACCAGCATGCAGAATGGGAGGATAATTATGAACAGGCAGGATGTGGGGTGGGCTAGGAGCATGATGGGGGGGGCCTGAATTTTCTCCATTTTTGTGGAAGATGAAGTCGGAGTTAGTTTCCTGTAGCTGCTGTAAGAAATGACCACAAACTGGGGCTTAGAACAGCGCACGCTTACTCTACCACAGCCGGGAGCCTGGATGCCCAGCAGCCCAGTGCCCTCCAGCTGCAGTGGTGCTGGCAGTCCACGCTCATGGCTGCATGCCCGTCTCCACCTGTTCAGTTGTATCTCCACTGGTGGCCACACTGCCTTCTCTGCATCTGTGTCAATCCTGCCTCTCATAAGGACACTTGCGAGGACAGCTAGGGCTGACCCAGATCACCCAGGATAACCCCCAACTCAGGATCTAAACTTCATCACACCTAGAGTCTACTTGGCCACATAAGGTGACATTCACAGGTTCCAGGAATTACAACAAATGTTTTTGGGGCCATTATTCAGATGAACACAGGGCCTCACGGGCAAGCACGAGTCCCACACACTGTATACACCCTGGAAATTTACTTTGTTCTCTAACACGATCTACCCTAGCAACTGAACAACGGCCTTTCAGCAAGACAGAGAAGAATATGTATTTAAATGTGAGTTATTAGTCCTGAAACTCACCTTCTTCCACAAGGAGAGCAAGGCCTGCACTCACGAGGTGTGAGTCCACTTGGGAGGGAGGTCAGCACGAGCTGCTGTGTAGGTGATAGTGCTGGGCGCACAGCCACCGACTGTGCAAGGAGGCGGGACTAGACCATCTACCTGATGCAGAATGGGGCCCAACCGGCACTGCCACAAGGTGCCATGTGACCCAAAGAAATTCCTCCTGGGGAACTGCCCCCCGCCAACAGCAGTGAAGAGGTCGGATCAGGCTGGACATCACCCAGCTCCTCTGTGGCAGCCAGCAGACACCAACGGCCCAGGTGGCAGGCTGGGCGGGGCCGTGTGGTGGGATGGTCCACCTGCCGCAGATGACCGTGGGCAAGGCCTGCTTCCCCTGTACCTCGACCATGCCCGTGAGTCTGGGAGAGGGGCACATGGTCCAGCCCTGACGAGTGCCCAGCGTCCCGGAAGGCCTGGCTAGAGCTGCATTAAAGCATGAGGGGAAGTCCTTCTGTAGGTGCTTACATAACCCACTGGGGCTCATTCACATCGGGAGCGGCTACATGGGCCACGCTGAAGGCCATGCTACAGATGAAAAGGTACCCCTGAGGGATACTGGGTCCATCAGACGCTGCAGGCAGGACATTTCTCTGACGTACAGAGAAATGTAAATCACTGAGATGTCCCATTACTGGAAAAAGCACACACACAGAAGGCTCAGCACACAGCTGAGCCAGGCGATGTGACATGCTAGTCGCAGAGCTAAGACACCTGCTGATATTGACCCCGGTCCAGAAATGGCCTGGACGTCTAGAGGAAGTCCTGGGCGCGCTTGGGCGAACCCTGCCACTCAGGGTCCCGCTCAGTCAGAGCACCAGGAGGGACGCTGCCGGCCAGCAACTCCTTGCTTTACACTTGGCGCGGCTGCCGCCCAAGCCCCAGGCTGTGCTGTGCCTGGTAAATCAGGTGGAAGGCGAGCAGGCTATGTGCCCTCAGTTCTTCCGAAGAACAAAGGCCCTGGAGCCAGCGTTCTGTGGTGGACAGGTATCCTTGCATTTTCAAAATAGGCAGGTGTCTGCTTTTCATTCATTCTGAAGGTTACCTACACAAACAGCTCTCACCCAAAACTGTTTAACTGTTTCACAATCACACAGATTTCAAAGTCACACTTCCTTGTAGACCTGCAATTAGCAAGGCACTGACATGCCAATGCCCAGCCTGGTTTCCAAGGTGGGCAGGTGCTGGGGGGGGTGGCACCAGCCAGAATGGCCTCTGTGAGTGGGGGTGGAATGGCCCCCATGCCAACACTGAAGGCTGATGAGGTGGTGGCCCAGCCGATTTGGCAGGTCACTTGGCCTCCCTGCTGTTGGTCAACTCGTCCCTGCAGCATGCTTTTCTGTTGAGTGGGGCTGAGACCCCTGTGTGCAAATAGCTGGTACGAGGGTGTCACTGGATTTTAGGCTTCCCCCCACTCGCTCTTGCTCCTGAGTCCACATGCCCCTGCAGACTCCTCTGCAGCTTACTTGCTTGTCCCCAGTGTCCCTCCTTGCTGGCCCTGACCAGCTGGCCACCTTTCAGCTCTGCCCATGGGGACGCAGCTCCAACCGAGGTCTTGGCAGTATGGTGTGCACTGTACCTGGAGCAGGGCACCCACCTACATGGACCACCACCCAACTGGACCCTCAGCAGTGCATGTCACTTGCTGTGCAAGCTGGCAGCATCTGGGGATGCAGCATGAACATGGACAGCCAGGACGCCAGCAGAAGCTGTATTCTTAGGGTGCCCACTCACCCCCATCCTCCAAGGCCAGCCCAGCAGGGCACAGGTGCCACCGTCTGTCCTCTGCCTGCACCCATGCCAGGCTGACCACCCCACACTGACTCAGGCCATCCTTCTCCCATGCTGGCCAAGTCAGGCAACTGGGTACTACCAATGGAACAGCATGGCAAGTCCTTGACACCCAGGGCTTCTTCCCAGCCCAGAGCACACATAGCACTTCCAGACCCTGAGTGTCATGGGACAGGGTCCCTGTTCAGCATGAGTGTCATGGGACAGGGTGGTCCCCTGCAGGGTGTCCAGATGGCACAGTGGGGAAGCTAACATGAGTCTGGAACAAAACTGAAGATCTTTTTGCGCGTTTTGTATGAATATGAAATGTCCCTGACCTTTTCCAATTAAGGATGGAAGAGATCAGCAGTTGCTTGCTTGGCCCCAGCCCTGCCACACCTGCTGACACTCAGTCAGCTGCAGGCACCTCTCCCCTGTCTTCAGTGGGCAGCATGTCCTCTCGTGGAATGCAGCCCTGCAGAGGATTTCCTGGCCTTACAGAGCGCCCACGCACCTTGGAGAACTCCTGAAGTCTGCATGGCAAGCTGGCATCCTCACCGGGCTGGTCGTCAGCTCCTGTGTGCTTCCAGGCACTGGCCTGTGGGAGGGGCTCCTGCCAGGGTGGTAAGTCCCTGTGTGAGTGCTTCTGTCCCTCAGCAAAGATGGGGATGCTCTCTCTCTGTCCGTTATTATCTGGCTGTTTAAATTTTTGTGAAATATTAAATACAAAAGAGTGGTGATAATGTGTAAGGTTATAAACAGGAAGATGAACGCCCGACTGTCGATTTCCAGTTGAACAGGTTTCTTTCATTCGCTCCCTTTGAGGATCCCTACGAGCTCTCCATCCCTCCCTCCCATCAATGCTAAATTTTGTTGTATCTTTCCTTTTAGGGATGTTATCATCACTATTGCATAAGCAATAGTGTTCAGTTTCATGTGTTTTTACACTTGACAAGATGAAACCACACTCCTACCCTGGGACTTGCTGTCCACTGATGGACGGCACCCACTCATACTCGGAGCACCCAGCTTGCGTCCCCATACACCTTCACGGGGGTTCTCTAGGGTGAATGCCTGGATAAGGACTTCATGAACTATTCTGGCCCATCAAAAACTGAATTACATTGTTTCACAAATTGCAAATTTTAGCTTTCCAGACTGACACAGATAAAAGAGAACCTGACTACTCTGAAAACTTGTATATAAATTTTTAAAACTAATTAACCTCTTCCCACAAAGCAAACACTGAGTTTGGACAATTTTAGAGTTGAGTGCTGCAACAAATACACGGAACCATTTCTCACCTTACACAAGCTGTCCCAGATGCAGAAAGGTAGAACACTCTTTACTCTCTCCAGGTGGTTAGACTGCTCTTTATACTAAACCCAAGGGCAAAATGGAAAGAAACTCACATTCGCCAACACAGAATACAGCTCAGTTAGCAAAGACATCCAGAAAACTCTATGTTCAAATTAGCCAAAATAAGCAAACTACACCTCCCGTTTCTGGGAGGCAGAGAAAACTCACCCTAAATGTTCCTGACTACAGCAAGCAGCCCACTTCTGTACCTCATGGAGACAGAGGCAGTGAGACTGGCCTGTTCTTACTTTTCTGCTCAGAGTCTGGGGACAGAGTGAGCAGGCTGTTGTGAGGCGGCCTACCAGGCCACAGGGTGCCGACCAACCACAATACAGAGCCTGTGGCTCACAGGGACAGGAACACACAGGCCTCCTGGTACCTGAGGGCAGGCGAGATGGAGGGCAGGCCACACAGCCAGGAAGCCTGGGGCCCATCCTCTGCTGGTACCGGAAAAAGATAAAATAACAGCGCTTCAGTTCAGGCTGAATGACTTGGTTCTGTCACTCATATTTACATCCACAGGCACTGCCGGCCCCCAGGGAAGCAGTGTCAAGACCAGAGAGGAGCCGGTACAGGATCCTGCACGGAGCTCCCGCCGATGCCTGCTCAGCCACACCCTTTGCTTTAGCACCTTCTGCTTGTGGAGGAAAGACAGGCTCACCCCAGAACGCAGCCCCTGTCCCTAAGGGGAAAACTTGTACTAATATGTTTTTTTGCACAAATAGATGTTGTCATTGCTTTATTACTCATAGTTTGCAAGCAATATACTATATATAAAAGCCATCTTTAAAACAGCTGGGTTTGCTATAAGCGTCTTTTTTTTTGCACCACGGGTTTCTGTACCACTGGAATTCTTTACCTGAAGTATATTGTTTATGCAGGCACTGGCAAAAACATAAGAAACTTTGAGTTTTCTACTCATACAGCTCCAAATAAATCCCCCACTTCTCCATTATTTGGGTTGTTAGCATTAAAAATGCTAAGAAAATATCATTCATTTTATTTTCTGTGAGTCCTTTTTCTCCATTTTACGTGACCGAAGAGGTCAGCTCAGTCATGAATTCAGGAGCACTCCCAGAGTTCTTGAGGATGACTCGTAGAGGAATCTGAAACACAGACGACAGAAGTGGCCAAATCACCCAGACGCACATTTTCGCAAAGTAACCCTAAAAATGCAGCCACATGTACTTAGAAAGTTGAGATGATCAGTCCCCATTTCACTGTTTCTATGTACAACTGAGTAAGAACCTTAGCACGGACGCACCCCACGCACACAGCCAAGCAAATGGAGCTGCCATCGCAGTCCCCTCGGCCAACAGCTCGCAGGGGCACCCAGGAAACTGCACAAATAAAACACTACTCTTTGATAAAATGTGCTCATGGTCATGTGTCCCCAGGGTGGATGCTTATTTACTCAAAAGTACTCTAATGAGGACCTACATCCTTACTCAGATACGGAGCATGCTCATCGGTGCGCACCTGCACTTTCCTACACAAGAACAGAGATAAGCCAAACTGTTCACCCCACTGTAGACACGCTACCAGTGAAACTACCACTCTGCCTGTTAGCTTTCCCACCTCCTCTCCTACATGCCTGTCCCCTGGGCTGAGACCCCAAGGACTTTCAGTCCCGAACCTTGCAGAAGATCTGCTTCATATCCAGCACACTCTCCACTCACTGAGCCATAAAGATGCATTACAGGCACGCCGACCCTGCTCCCCTGCCTGTTGCCTGCCCTCCGAGGTCCAGAGCACTCCTTCCCTCTGAGGGTGTGTGTGCCTAGACACAGAGGCCAGTCCGCCCCAGTGCTCTCTCCCGAGCCCCAGTGCATCTGGTGTCTGCGTCCTGCCCCCCACCTACCCTGCCGCAGGGTCGGGCAGCACAAGCGCCCAGGCCACCTGAGACTTTCCAGCAGCTGCACCAAAGGGAGCAAAGCAAGCAGGCAAGGTTCACTTGAGCATATTTCACTGAACCCAGCATGACAGAACATGTCACACTATGATCAACACAACATATCACTGCGGCGGCCTTTCCACTCTGTCCCCAGCATGGACCTGCATGTCACAGAGGCCACACGCCAGCTCAGGCTGGCCACGGTTCCACTCTGACCTGTGCCCACTGAAGGGGCCAGCACAAGTCTAGAAAAACTTCAAGATTTCCTCTGTACCCCTGGAATTCAGGAATTTTACTCAGGTTTGCTGAGGTATCGCTGCCTCTCTCTGGGCCCTTCTCTCCTCATCTGTCTTTAGTCCCCAACTTCTCTTCACCAGAATCTGCTCTGTGTTGAGATATTCTTCCAACCTGGTTTTTTAGACCATCTGGAATCTGAGTTCAACAGGGAACCTAGTGCATCAGGGACATTTATATTTTTAATTCAATAGTTTTTTATTCTAGATCACCTTTCGGGAGCTACAACTGATTTCTTTCTTTAAAGACTCCTTAATTGTGTGGCTGGGCCACCACTGTTGCTTTAAGAATGGCTGTTCCAGTGGTTTCTAACCACTGGGACACCCGGCGCCCTGCAGACACCTCAGACGGATGCATGTGGAGGATGGAGGCCACCAGCTGGCAGCAGGAGGGCAAAGGGAACATCAGAAGCCTGACACCCCCACACCACCTCCAGCTCCCCACCTGCGGTAACGGGAAAGTTCCCCAAACCGCATCAGTTCTTTGGGAGCTGGAGACCAGGGTGCACATAGGGAGCCAAGGTATAAACCAGAGGGGGGAAGTGCTACCACCCCCATAGGCTGGGAAGGAGGGACACATGACACATTAAGCCAACACTCCAGAATCTAAAATTTATTTTTAATTACTCAACATATTGTCTCCTTAAGTGAGTATGAATTTGGAAGTACTTAGGAGAAAAATACTAGATTACCCTGGCAAAAGTTACTTAACTACAGAGTAACCAGCCACTAGTGTTGACCTGTGTCTAGCCCAGCAAAGATAATGAGGTATCATCCTCTCCCCACCAAGCCGGCACCCTGGGCTGAGGGTGCCCAGCGACATGCCCGGGCCACACCCAGGCCGCCTGTCCTCTGACTGCCAACCTCCCACACATTCAGCTTTGCTTTCGATTTGTCCAGCCCTCCACCACCTGGGAAGGGGTGGAGCGCACTGTGCAGACGGGAGAAGTAAGAGCCGTTTAAGGACAGAAGGAACAAAATGTGAACTCCAGAGCTGGAAGGGACAGAGGCAAGAAGGCCAATCATCCCCTGGGCCAAGGTCCCTTGGTGTGTCTGAGCCCTCTGGACCAGAAGGCATGCTCACCCACCTGCCAGAGGCCCCACGGTTCTCAGCAGGCTGTGCTCACAAAGCACGGGCAGAGAGAGCCAGTTTTCTTGAAAACCAATGAGATACACAATCCGTGTTTTTATTAAAGTGTGGTTTTATTTGTGTATAGCTTCAATCACCCACATACACACCAAGGCCCGCTGGGTACCAGTGGAGGTGGAGGCATGCTGCCAGCTGAGCTATGAAAACCATCAAGCCCAAAGACTTAATTCCTTTTCCAAAGACTTAAAATTACATATTGTACAATAAAATATCATTTGTCAACACTTGATAACAAAAAAGAGGTCCCTTTTCTGGGAGTATGCCTTTCCTTCAAGGTCTGATAGCAAGGTCTGACGTTTGCGACTGCATACAGCGCCACTGAAGTTGCCTACATAGCAACAAAATTAACACTGGCAAGTAATTTGTTTGTAAAATGATTACAGTTCATTTGCTCAGTGGGAAAAATTCTTAATATAACACAAACATTAAGAAATATTTATACATCTATAATCTAATTATAAATCTACTGCTATTTTCATACTATTTATGAAAGTAGTGAATAACCTACTTGACATTTAAATGCACCAGCACATCAGCAAATGCATGCCATTCCTCCTGAGAAAATATGTCCAATTCACAGTATGCTACACTGAGTGAGGCAATTTAAGTGCAGTAAGAAGCATTTTTTATTTAGCACCCAACAGACCAGGTAACAAAATAATAAGCCTGCTAGGGAGAAGACTTGTTTGTCCCTTAAGAAAATGTTCACTTCTAAATAAATGCCCCATTGCCTAAAATAGTAACTGGCCCAACGGGTTCCCAGTATCTTAAACATCTTGATTGCCTTAATGTCTCTGCTCCAGCATTTAATCAATAATATTTTAAAATATAGTCTTAAGTTTTGTTTGTCTTCGGTTAGATTGACCCTTTTAGACATGCTCATTCTGCAGTGTGCTTCCTGCATATTTAAGCAAGAAGCTGATGTCCCACAGCCCAGAGCCATTTATTTTTGGGGGATAGTTCCTCCTTAAAGGGAAGAACCCTTTTTTACCATCTGTGTATCAGCATCGTGGAGAAGATGGTATATAGTTATTGACTATGGAGAAACAAAATACCACATTTGCCATGTTTAAATTCTGTTAATATTCTCTGTGCTTCCAGAATGCAAGCATTGAACTTCTAAGGCCTTGTTTTGTCTCAGTGTTGACTGATATGATCAAAGCTCTGGGAAAGCTGAAATGAAAGAAATTCCTACAAGGAGCAAATGTCCTCCTTTCCTTGCAGCTTCAGAACAGTGCACACGATTCCACATCCAAAAACCCTGGCAAATTTGTTATTTCTAACAACAAAATCTTATAAAATACTTGGACTTCCAAGTGTTATCACATCCCATGAAAATAACTTATCATTTATACAGTTGATAATTCTAATGGTCTTATTTAATATTTGTGCTTAGTAAAAATACTAGAGTAGAAATTTTTTAAAGTTGAAAACAGGAACGTGATAAAGAATATCAATGAAACCGGAGGGTGGGGCCAAGATGGCAGTGTGAGTAGAGCAGAGGAAATCTCCTCCCAAAACCATATATATTTTTGAAAATTCAAGAAATACAACTATCCCTAAAAGAGAGACCAGAAGATACAGGACAACAGCCAGACTACATCTATACCTGTGAGAACCCAGCACCTCGCGAAGAGGGTAAGATACAAGCCGTGACCCGGTGGGACCCAAGCGCCCCTACCCCAGCTCCCAGCAGGAGGAGAGGAGTCAGAGCGTGAAGGGAGAGGGAGCCCAGGACTGCTAAATAGCCAGCCCAGCCATCCGCACCAGAGCACAGACACACAGTGCGAGGAGTACAGGATACTAGGAGAATGGGACAGAAAGACCTGCAAGTGGATCCCTGCAGCTGGTGCGCCCCTGGGACAAAGAAAAGCGAGTGCTTTTTGACAGACTTAAAGGGACAGGGACCTCATAGCTGGACGGAAGCGTCCTGAGACACTCAGCCCAGCAACTGGGAATCCCGGGGAACTCCGGGTACCCTAATCCCCTGGGCGGCAGCGCAGCTCGGATGCCCCTCACGGAGATAAACAGCCTCCTGCCCATTTCCCCTCCGACGCCGCTCCACCATAGTGGAGCAGCAGCCTGAGGCAGCAGGGCAGATTCCTTCACAGCAGCCGGGCAAGAATTAGAAACCCCATCTGCATGCAGCTGCCCAGCACAAGCCGCTATGGGTCGCTGTTCTCCCAGAAGAGGAAGGCCACAAACCAGCAAGAAGGGATGTTCTCCCAGCCAACACATGCACCAGCTTCCTGAAACTACCTCTATCACCATGAAAAGGCAGAAGAATTTGATACAGACCAGACTAACCCAGACATCCTCCCCTGAAAAGGAATCTAGGGAGATAGACCTAACCAATCTCCCTGAAAAAGAATTCAAAATAAAGGTCATAACCATGTTGATGGAGCTGCAGAGAAATATGCAAGAGCTACGGGATGACATCCAGAAGGAGATTACAGAAATGAAACAATCTCTGGAAGGATTTATAAGCAGAATGGATGAGGTGCAAGAGGCCACTAATGGCATAGAAGCTGATGCAGAGAGAGATAAAAGGATCTCCAGGAATGAAACAATATTAAGAGAACTGTGTGACCAATCAAAATCGAACAATATTTGCATTACAGGGGTACCAGAAGAAGAAGAGAGAGAAAAAGGGATAGAAAGTGTATTTGAAGAAATAATTGCTGAAAACTTCCCCAAACTGGGGGAGGAAAAATTGTAGCTCAGACCACAGAAGTACACAGAACTCCCAACAGAAGGGACCCAAAGAGG